CGTTGTTGAGGAAGAAATAAATGAGGAAGATTTTGGATGCAAAATGGGCAATTTTGAATAAGTCTAGTCTCTATAAGATTCTAAGTTGTTTATTGTGCCAAAGATATATATGTCATAGTGTATGGGTATTTCCTTTTTCTTGCCCGATACTTGTTCTTGTTGGAAATTCTGCGTTGGAAAGTGTAAGACCATCTTGAATTGGGGTTTAACAAGAAATGACAATCGCATAGATACATAAGTAATTAGAGTTAACCAGTTAGTAACAGATATAGCACACACATGCGTGCCTCTTTGTAGCATTGCCAGGTCTTTTTGCATCAATATATCTTCGTGTGTTTGAGTAGGGTACGATTCTGAATTTTTCAGGAGGTCGTGCGCGGTTAATAAGATTGTGAGTTGTCCTTTATTGGTAAATCAACAAATGATTAACTACTAGTATATCACTCGATATCATCATGAATTTCGAAGAAGCTGAAGACATAAACGGGGTTCGTTTTGCGTGGAACACTTTTCCATGCACTAAGGCTGATGCCAACAAGTTGGTTGTTCCTACTGGTGCGTTGTATACCCCTTTAAAATTTAGAGAAGATTTACCGATCGCTGAATATGATCCACACTGCTGTTTGAATACACATTGTAGAAGTATTTTGAATCCATATTGTCAAATTGATCCAACAGGTTCTTGGATTTGTCCAATTTGTGGAAATCGTAATCCATTGCCTAGCCATTATCAAGGAATTTCAAATGAGAACTTACCGCTTGAATTGAATCCAAATTCATCAACAATTGAATATATTACTGCCAGGCCAGTAGCCAATCCACCTATTTTCTTCTTTGTTATTGATTTATGTCAAGATGAAGATAATTTGAAGGCTTTGAAAGAGACATTAGTGGTTTCATTGTCGTTATTGCCACCAAACGCTTTAATTGGGTTAATTACATACGGCACTATGGTTCAAGTCCACGATCTTGGTTCAGAATCTATCAATAAATCTTATATCTTCAGAGGAGATAAAGAGTACACGGATAAGCAAATCAGTGACATGTTAAAGAAGCCTGTGGTTGTTCCAGCCCAGAGCTTTGCAAATTCATTAACCCGTTTCTTCTTACCGTTGGAGGAGGTCGAATTTCAATTGACTTCTATTTTGGAAAATCTTACGAAAGATCCTTGGGCTGTTGCAAACGGTGATAGACCATTGAGATCTACTGGGTCCGCATTAAACGTTGCTACTAATTTATTGCATTCAACATTTCAAGGATACGGTGCTAGAATTATGTTATTCTCTGCTGGTCCAGACACTTTAAATCCAGGTTTAATAGTCGGTCCTAAATTAAAAGAGCCTATCAGATCTCATTCTGACATTGATAAAGATAATGCTAAACATTACAAAAAGGCTATTAAGTTTTATGATGCTTTAGCAGCTAAACTAGTTAAAAACTCTCATACCGTTGATATTTTTGCTGGTTGTTACGATCAAATCGGTATGTCTGAAATGAAGAATTTATGTAACAAGACCGGTGGTACTTTATTGTTATCCGATGCCTTCACAACTTCTATTTTCAAGCAATCCTTCTTAAGATTGTTTAATAAAGATTCTGAAGGTTACTTGCTAATGGGTTTTAATGGTACCTTTGATATAAAAACTTCTAAGGAATTGAAAGTGAGTGGGTTGATTGGTAATGCATCTTCATTGGCCGCTAAAACTAACAACGTTTCGGAAAATGAAATTGGTATTGGTGGAAGTTCCCAATATAGATTGTGTTCAGTTTCTCCTCAGCACACCTACGCCGTATTTTTTGATATTGCCAACACCCAAAGTTTACCTCCAAATTCGCAATCTTATATTCAATTTATTACTCATTATCAACATTCATCAGGTACTTACAGAGTAAGGGTTACCACAATTTCAAATATCTTGACTAGTGAAGATGCTATTTTAACTCAATCATTTGATCAAGAAGCTGCGGCAGTCTTAATGGCGAGAGTCACATTATTTAAATCTGAACAAGATGATGGTGCTGACGTCTTAAGATGGATTGATCGTATGTTAATCAAATTATGTCAAAAATTTGCCGACTACAGAAAAGATTTCGATGAATCTTTCAGATTAAGTCCACAATTTTCTTTCTATCCTCAATTCATTTACTATTTAAGAAGATCTCAATTCTTACAAGTGTTCAATAACTCTCCTGATGAAACGGCATTCTACAGACACGTTCTCTTGACTGAAGATATTAATAATTCATTGATTATGATTCAACCAACATTAACATCATTCGCCTTGGACAGCGAACCAGAACCAGTATTGTTGGATTCGGTTTCTATTAAAGATGATCGTATCTTATTATTAGATACTTTCTTCCACATTTTGATTTTCCATGGTAAAACAATCGCTGAATGGCGTAAAGCTGGATATCAAAATAATCCAGATTATGCTAATTTCAAGCAATTATTAGACGAGCCAAAGCAAGAAGCTGCTGAATTATTAGTTGATCGTTATCCATTACCTAGATTTATTGATACTGAAGAAGGTGGTTCTCAAGCAAGATTCTTATATTCCAAACTAAACCCAAGTACCACTTATAATAATCAAACTTTCACCGGTAGTAATGGTGCGGTTGTTTTGACTGATGATGTTTCTTTACAAGTATTCATGTCTCACTTGCAGAAATTAGTTGTTTCCGGTTCTAATTAGATTTGTCTCTATTTATCTAGTAAATAATTTTAAAAGCACTGTATTATATGAAATTTTTGTAAGACACCAGACTGCGCGTAGATTTTTCGAGGAATTGAAACTAGAATAGCTATTTCTATCTTTTGCAAACACAGTGTAACTGAATAATAAGTATAATGGCTACTGAATTAGATGACAAACAGCTTACAGCTGGTATGTATATTTATTATCATTTTATTCTCACGTACTCCTAGATGTGTACTAACAATTCAGATGAAATCGCATTATATGATAGACAAATTAGACTATGGGGAATGGCAACGCAATTAAGATTGAGATCGGCTAAGATATTAGTCATTAACTTAGGTGCTGTTGGAGGTGAAGTAGTCAAGAACTTGGTGCTAGGGGGAATTAATACCTTGGAAATTTTGGACTCGTCGAAAGTAAAAGAAGAGGATTTTCTGGCTCAGTTTTTCTTGCCCAACAATCACGATATAGTCGGGCAATTGAAATTGCCAGCTGTTATAGATCAGATTAAAGACTTGAATAATAGAGTGAATTTGTCTGCTAATACCAATAGTTTATCTTCAATATTCAGTGATTCACAGGAAACCAATAATTATCTTGCGAAATTTGATCTTATAATAGGAACAGAACTTACCAAATCTGAAATGCTTACGCTTAACGAATATACTAGAAACTTAAATATCCCATTATATGTTTGTGGATTACATGGTATGTTTGGTTACATAGTTTCCGATCTAATTCATCATACTGCAACTTCTGAGAAAGACGCTGGTAATCAACCACGGGAACCAAATACCAAAATTAATCGTTGCAAGACAATTACAAATGTCGAATATAATAAAGAAGAAAATAAGGAAATAGTTACCATTGTTGATGAGTTTATTCCAATACTAGAGATCTTTAAATCAAAAGAATTGCCAAAGCAATTAAATAAAAGACAGATGAAAAGGTTATCCGCAGCATTTCCTCTTATATTTTCTTTGTTTGATATACCTCGTTTAGAAAATCCAGAAAATACTGTAGATATTGAAGAGCTTCGTGAAAGGCTGAAAGAAGTCTGTGCACATTTTGAAATTCCAGAAACCGTTATAAATGATGAGTATTTGAGGCTATTTAGTAATCAAGCATATACGGAATTCGCTCCAGTTTCCGCAATCTTAGGAGGGTGCTTAGCTCAGGACGTTATACAATTTTTAAGTAAGAAAGAGAGTCCTATAAACAATTGCTTGATTCTTGACGCTGTTAAATCGGAAATGCCGATATATCTATTGTAGTAGTAATTAGCTTTATAATACATGTATATTAATTATTTACCATTCGGGGTAATGCCTCTACTTTTCCTCTTTTTTAAATGAGAAGTCTCTTTCAAGAATTTTAAAGACTTGCCTAATTTCGTTTGATATGTTTTATTCTTTATTCTCTCTGATTCAATTTCTTCTATTAATTCTCTTTTCTGTTTTTTGAACTTCGTACGCTCATCAATACCCGACTCAGTTGAAGCAGCTATTTTTCTTTTCAATTCCTCATTTAGCTCTTGGGCTGCCTTAACTTGATGTTCAGATTCTGTTATTGAATTTGCTGCATTGGAGCATTCATTAGCCATGTAATTTTTCTCTTCGTGTTTTGAATTAATTTTAGACAAATTTTCCTTTATCTTATCTTGAATTTCCCAAATTTTAATTTGCTGTTCGTAGAATTTGTTTAACTTCTCGTCTGTTATATTATTATCTGCAATAAAAGTAATCAACTTAGATTCGAAATTCTTCATCTCTTCTTTGGTGGATTCCAACTCTTGGTTATTCCTTGCTATTTTCTTTTCTGCAAATAATATGCGGGACTCAGTATGATCGATGTCATCAATGATCTTGGATAATGCATGTTTAGTGTCTTCTTCTCGTCTTCCAACTCTTGCCTGAATATCGGGTCTGTTAAAATCAATATACGTATTATGCTCTTCATTAGCTATATTCCAATTCAAATAAGCGGTCTTCAATTGAGTTATTAATTTATGAGTTAAGATATTTCTATTGATGTTGGAATTAACTGTCATGTTACTTTCGTTTCCAAAAATACCAATCAATGTATTAAAGTCATTTCTTAAAGAATTAGTCACATAATCCAGCTCTAATCTTTTAGCTTCATAATAAGACTGTTTTTTTTTCTGTGGTTTATGCAGATTTCCTTCTGCAGAGTCGTAGGGTGTATAGTGGTAATGCACTTCAGTTAATAAAGATCTTTCTATATCTGTGGCACTGAATTTTGGAATTTTTGATAATTCCGGTAAAGGCCATTCAGGAAACAGGTTACTTCGACTACCTCTAAAGGCATTATCAAAAAAAGTATGAGATAAGTATTTCAAGTGCTGATTGAATATAGGAAAAATATCAGGTGGAAGAATACCGATATGTTCTCTTAAACAAACAATCGACGATATTATTTTGTACAAGTAATCCTTTTGCGCTGTCATATTCGAATAATACAATTGGCAATGTTCTACCGTTCTCATTGGAACCAATCTTATTATAATTGCCTCTTTACGTCTATTTTGAGTCCTAATCTTTTGGAAAAATTCATGATTTGTATCGACATAGCTGTCGAAAACTATCAAGGCATCAAACTTCGCCTGTGCAAGTTGCTCGTCATCCTTAGTCATCTTACCGTCAAACGGCAACAAATAAATATTTGTCACCGGCTTATTAGAATCACTACTTTTACTTGCTTTTGAAGATTCCTTTTCCACATAATTGCCAACATAACGTTTTATTGTCTTATTACCTGAACAGCCCAATAATAACGCTTCGACTAAATCGAAAAATTTAGCATTATTATTCAAAAATACCCCTATAGTTTTAGTATTTCTCGTAGTATTCAGTATAATAACATTCATTAGATCTTTTAGAACGCTGAACTTCCCGCTTGTGTCTGCTAACTTGCTCAGCATATCTTTCAGTGCCAAATTTTTAGGCATGTAATGGTTAATTAATAAATAAGGATGCGTGCTAACAAGCATACAGTTATTGATGCATATCTCCAATGATTTAATAATAAGGTCATTCTTATCATTCGTTTCACAATATTTAAGAATATCTGGATAATGTAACGAAACTATTTGGTCTGTCAACTCTTTTTGAAATTCGTACATTGGGGTCGGTAGATGATAATCACCACTTCGATTGACATTTTCTAAACGCAAATCTATAATTGGCGGTTCAGGTGTACCATCTAGAATCTTAAGCAAGTTCATTTGATATTATTTACTGTAGTTGAAAGTATCAAAGGTTTATCCGGTATTCGTAAATACTAACTTCACCATTTCACAATACGATATGCGTAATTTACAGTTTTGTATATATTTACAGATTGATTTTTTACATACATATACTACAACCTATATTCTCCATAATTTAACAGATCTATCCCAACCACTACTAACAATGAAGCATCCGTCTCCACTAATGTCACAACTCATAACTTTATCACTATGACCTTTTAAACTTTTTACTTTGACCCAATTATCAGCTGACCATATATTAACCATTCCATCGTAAGATGCACTTGCCAAGAATGTACCATTTGTATCTAGTCGTTCAGGATTCTGATCAAACTCATCTGTCACTGTAGTACTTAATTCTCCCAGCGGCTTGGTGTCATCTCTTTTGTGAAAAAATCTAACATCACTAACCAATTTAGTATGTGAAGGAATTGAGAACAATTCACCATTCAGGTTGGAATTATCAAATTTACGGATATCCCATATCTTCACAGCACAGTCTCCACTGGCCGTTGCTAAATTATATCCATTAGGAGACCAATCCATACTATATATGCCTTTAATGTGACCTTGTAATGTCGCAATTGATCTTCCGCACCTTAAATCCCAGAGTCTACCTATAGCATCAAGTCCTCCGGTAGATAAAAGACCACCGTCAGGGTGGAACGAGCCGCAAAATACCTCTTTGGAATGACCTTCTTGTTGAACCAAAGCCTCTTGAGGTTTTTCAACGTCCCAAAGCTTCCATGTTTGGTCAAATGACGTAGAAACTACATACTTTCCTGTAGGATGGAATAAAGTTTTACTTATTCGATGTTGATGAGCATCTTTGATTGTTGCAGATGGTGTCATTTTTTGTGGCTCTGTATCGTTTGTGTCAGGAGTCATCCAAAAATTAATGGCTCCTTCATTGCCACCAGTAACAATTAATCTGTTATTATTGAACATATCCCAATCTAGGGCGCTCACTTTCTCTGTATGGTGGCCTGGTCCCAGATAATACTTTGTTTTCAAATCTTCCCTACTCAAAATATAGACCGATCCATCCCATGATCCACAAGCTATTAATGAACTATCAGACGAGAATCGCACTGCCGACAATGTCCTGGTATTTCCTGTGATTAGCTGCGTTCCATAAAGGGTGAATTTAGAAAGATTGGAATTTATTGTTCGGCGATGCTTCAAAGTTTTAATGAAATCTTGTTGTTTCGATATATTTTTTTGTAGCTCGTTTCTTTCCGATGATTTTTGAAGCGAATATTCTAAAAACCCTTTACGTGTTTCTAATAAAGCCTCTGAACCTGGAGTATAAAAATCTTCATCTTCCTCATCTTCTTCCATATCATCATCACTCCCTTCTACTTCTTCCTGTCTATTATTTTCTTCGACATATGCAAACTCAAAGTTTGTATTGGGTAACTCAGATACTAACTTTATTAACCTTTCCCTTCTTTCTGCCTTCCCTTCACCAAAATACGTTACTGGCTCCCCCATTCTTCTCAATTCAGCCCGAACTTCCTCATCAATTGTAGGTACATCTTTTGGATCCAATACGTTGATACCCTTGTTTATTTTCGGGTCATTGACAATGGGTATCTCATTTATCTCCATATTTATAGTGTCAAATTGAATCACTATTAATGATAAGGAAGAAAATAATACTCGCTCAAGATGGAATTTTTCGACTGAGAACGTCTAGCGATTGTAGATAAAATTGCAGCTACATGTTTGATGCTATTTATTATACATAATTCGTTTATTAATGATTATATGATAGAATCCTTTCGGCGTATTGAGCAAAGTTTTCGCTTTCATTGACTTTTTCATTTAAATCAGGCTGGCAAAAAACTGCTAGTGTATTCCTAGCAATGTTCTTTTGTTTAGTACCCTTTACGTAATGAGGAACTGCTTTGAAGCCACCCTTTGATACTTCCTCTAAGGCAGATCCAGATTGAAAAGCTAAGCAATTAGCAGGAATGTTAACTTTAACAACTTCATTATGCCTGTTACGAATATACAAACCAGCCTCGGGATCTGGAGAGTAGTCTAAGTCATGTGTTAAACCCTTTGACTCATCAAAAAGTAACGCAGAAGTAAGTCCCGTAATACATGAGTGATCTAAATGTTCACCGCACCAATCGTCATCATTTGTTGAAGTTCCGTCGGATGGATAGTAATGTAATAACCTTGCCTTTGTTGAAGTCGAGTTCTTAACAATTCGTTCCAAAAAATGTTGTTCGTAGTTAGGTTGTGTCTTAGCTATATAATTATCACAATTGGACGCAACAGATTGAGCTACATCTATAATCAAATTGCATAGCTCTTTACAGTCATTCTCAAATGTAGTTAATCCTTCTAATTGATTTGATGGCCATATGTTCCAAGTGGTATAAGTTTTAAAGTCTTTGAATTCGTCACAGATACTATGAATTGGTCCCTCTAATTTAGGATCCTTATGAAAGGCACAGTTCATATAATATGATCCTTTATTATAATCAGGCTTGCCACTACTACCCAATATTTCTTTCCCACAAGACCATCCCGATAACCACATAGACTCTTCTGATTCTAATTTGGACAATTCGTCGTTGGGCAAATTCGCTAATATAGAAGCACTTTTTAATACTCTTAGCCTCAATTCATGAAATTTCTCTGGTAGATTCTTTACAAGTATAATACCTAATGAATCGGGTCCAAAGGCATTTTCTAAAGTGTTATAATCAACTCCCTTTACTAAATCTTGAAATGCTACAATCACAGGTCCAGTTTCATCCATTCCGACAAGATTCAATCAATTAACATATTTTTATTTTAACCTGACTTTTGATGGTTTTATACTTCTGTTCGAACGGCTCTACTCAAATGCGCAGACATAATTACTTGAGATTTCATACATTTGCTGCATGCCAATACAATAGACAATATCAACTATCAAAAATAATATATATTTCGAGCTCTATAAATATATCATAGAGGGATTCTGAATGAATGTTTTGGTTATGTATCTTTCAATAATATTGCAAATTTTTAGTATTTTTTGCATTTTTTAAGAATCTTTGTGATTCTCAATATTGTTATAATTTTAGTTCATATGAAAGCAAAGGAAAATTAATGTATACTTTTTTAATTTTTCTTCAATTTTATAGAGGAAGTTAATTCTATTGTCTTACTTCCTTCTCTCTCAACAATTAGATGCGGAATAATAAACATATTTTTTGTATGATTTTTTTTAATATATTTTCGCCTATTTAAGTTCTATTATATTCATAGTTTTTGTTTCTGATTTCTGATTTTTTTATTTTTCCTTTAAGAATACTAATTATAAATGAAAAAAGTTAGAAGTATGCTGATGGTCTTGGTGTAGATTAGAATCATCTGCCTTTAATATATTAGCAAGACAACTCCTATTAAATATTTTACTGAGTACCAATATCTATCTAACTTATAGGATTTGAACTTATTATTGATCTTTTCTAAACTAACTAACTTTAACAACTATTATTGGCTTTTTTTTATAATATTTCATAAGACTCAGCGACCACTATTTAACATTTGATTTTATTGTGCAGTTTGCAACAATCATCGATACATTCAACATATATATGCTTATGTTTCGATGTAACTGCTAGGACAA